TAAATAAATATCAACCATTTGAACAACAACAACAACAATCTATAATCACATTCCAACTAATTTACGTACCTTTGATGGCGCTTTTCCCCAAACCAAGCATTTACCGTTTGTCCTGCGAAATTCCTGCCTTTGCCTGTCACAATCATAGTTTATGTATATGCAAACAATGCCTGCTACAAGAATATAGAGAGCAAGCTGCATAATAGGACAATCAAGGTCAGTGTTAAAGACACAAGCTTGCCTTTTTTACGCACAGCAAGATATAAAAGCACGAAACATCTTTTATTCACCATCAGCAGAAAGATTATTTCTAAAGATACATCATTTTGACTGAGGATATATAATTACCAAATATTTGCTATTATGCAGATTAGAGAGGATAAATTGTTGTGTTTTTTCATCTACTTACTTTGTCTATGCTAAAGCTCCATACTTTCGGGCAATCATAGTTGATTGAGTTTTTATGCTTATATGTGGCCTTTTGTGTTTATATATCTGGCCCTTTTTTGAACACATACACACACAAAAATTATTAATTGAGTTGAACACAACCCAAATTAGGACTAAAATGATGATTTTATAGGGTTTATAAATCCTGGTACCCTTTTGTGAAATAAAACACAATCCAAACTATAATTCACATGATATATAGTAGATTGGGATGAAAAAGGGACAGAATGGACAGTCGTGCGAACCTGCAATCCTAGATTTACTGGATGATTGACGAGATACATGCCAGGAGAAGTATACACAGATGGGACCCACACCAAGCATCCCCAACATATGTAAAAACCAGCTGCAATTGAAATTATGGAAGTCTCCAGTCATGGCAAGATTCAACCAGTAATTACATGGTATTAACGAGAATATTGAATGTTGGAAATGAAAAATGAAAAAAATAAAATGTGAAAGTGAAATGTAAAGGTAAAGCAGACCTCTATCATGAGCAATATCCATTGTGTTCCAATATCCAGATTCCCACCAGAAGAACTTTGTTACATAAACCAAAATTAATATCGTGTTAACCAGCATGGAATCGGACACCTTCCCATATGTTTCATACTGTGACAAGAAAATGGAGAATATTTTCGTAAGTGATTGATGGTACATCGAGAAAATAAAATAAAGGGTTGATATACAAAAAATAAATGAAGTATTCATGGATATCAATCGCGAAGTTTCATGTATACCTGCTTTATGCAATAAGTCACGGCAAGAACGGCCCAGGACATCATCCCAAATCTGCAGTTAGTAAAAACTTTGATATCAAAGTTTTTTCCAATACGAGGATACAACTCCATGCCCTGCAGAAAAATAGAATTCAAAAAATAACTAGAAATAAGCATTAAAAAAAGGAATACAAATTGGTACATGTATCTGGGCATTCGAGTTCTACTACTACGGATCTAAAAAATCCAAATTCCATTCTTAATTTC